GGCAGGCGCGCCTCCGTGAGCCGCGCTGCCCCCGCTGCCGGACAGGCTCGCTGGTGGCAATGCCTTTGTACGCTCGAGAAGGAGCGACACGTTTCGGGAGATGCCGGAGATTTGACGCGAAAAGTCCTTCATACCGCTCTCGACGCGCGTAAGCCGTTCGAGCATCTCTTTGATGAGTGGCGACTCACCGAGCGCATCGTCGGTGGGCGCAGAGTGCCTGTCGAAGATGTTGCCGACGGAAACGGAACGATTGGGCGAAGGGCTAGGGAAGCCAGAGCCGGACAGGGGGCTGCCGATGGGCGAGTGGACACCGGAAGCGCCCGCACTGCCGATCGTGGCAGCCGTGGGCGACAGAAGACCACCGGAAAGATTCATATAGTTGGGCACCACCAAGTTGGGTGTTGCACGCCCAGGTCCAGCATGGCGGTCCGAACGCGAGCCACGTCCTGCAGCGCTGGGCAGAGATGCAGGAGCAAGCGAGTCGTTGGCAGCTGGGTTCGGAGCGTTGAAAGGGCCTGCACCGTAGGTCGCTGACACGGAGCGCTTACCGGCCACCGCTGAGACAAAGGCAGGATCCATATCATCGACTTGGCTGGGAAGACGGTCGCGACGATCGCCGTGGCTGCTGGCGGGTCGTGAGGACTGAGCATCAGCGGCGTCGCGGGTGAACGCCCTGTTGGACTCGAAGGATTTGTCGTGGCTCGCTGGATGCATCCACGAGTTGGGGCGAGGCCTGCCGAGGTTGAGGTTGGAGCCAGCGTGACTGGACGTTGAGGGAGATCGGCTGAAAGATGCCGATGCAGGGTCAAAGGTGTGCTGTGCGTCTACAAAGAGGCGAGGGGTGCCAAACTCGGACTCGGAGCCAGTATGACGGCCGGCGTCGTGCAAGTGAGCGGTGCCGTTGTCCTGAATGGATGGTGACTGGAGAGGGTTGAGCCCGCGTGGCTGCGGGTGCAGAGCGTTGTTGGCGTAGTCGCGAGATTGCATCGGGAGTGGTGAGCCGGAATTGGCGGTGCGAAAGCTTTGCACGGAAGCCGCCAGGCTGTTTGAGCGGCTCACATCGACGTGCTTCGCGCCTCGGAGGGATCCGGTGGTGGCGGCGGTGCGAGCGCCTCCGATGACGCCCGGCTTGGCTGCAGCGTTGACGATGGCCGAGTCCGCCGACCGCGCGCCCTCGTCAGCGCTCTTGACCGAGACGGCCGAATTGCTTCGGGCTGGTCCGACAGGCTTAGAGGGCAGAGGATGCGCTCCCGCACGCATCACCTCGGCGCGGTCACTGGCGGAGAGCTCGTGTGCGCTGGCATCGAGGCTGGCCTGGTTCGCACCGGCGGAGGTTCCGAGGATCGACTGTGCGCTGCGCTCTTGCTTGGCCGAAGATGCATTGGTGGACCAGATGCTGTTGCCCGGGATCAGCGGAGACACCGACATCTTAAAAGACGATGGACGGCTCTCCGCCGATGCCTTGACTAGTGATGCAGAAGCGCCCACGCAGACTTGACGCGAGCAAGTGCCAGAGTGGTCCAAATGAGAGCCCGACAGAGAACGGCAAGGACCCGAGGCTTGCAGCGAGCTGTGCTTGTCAACCGAGTCAAACAGCTTCCGTAACAGCCTTGGCGGTTGCTTTTGCGGGATGTTAGCAGTGCCAAGGTCGTCACAGAGCGTCGAGGAAGAGTGAAGAGACCAGGAGAATGAGGAAGTGTTGGTCGGCTGGCGAACGGCAACTGATTTTGGCACCTTTGCATGCTCGCTAAGTTGAAGCTTGCCTGTTGCACTGTGGCTCGGCGGGCGGCCGAAAGGGGTCCAGCTCGACCGAAGGCCACAGCGAGTCGTGGAAAGTCGAGCCGAAAAATCGGGCGGCTCAAGCAGAGAAATTCTTGCCGCACGCTCACGGCACGGCACGTCACAGCACAGCACAGCAAAAGCGCACCTGCCAAGCTCGGACACGTCGGCGCATCCAGCAGCAGAGTCCAACACCTCTCTCACTCGGCCACATTGCGAGCCAGGCTGAATTCGCCTCAATTTGACACCGCCGTGTACTGCTGCGAAGTTCCCCCTCCCACCGCGCTCGTTTTAGGGGTCCAAAGCGCACGGCCGGCAGCAGTTCAATCCGAGCCAACTCGGGCTCGGGCGGGCTCGAGCGCGTTTCGCCCTCGACCTGCTAAGCAGCAGCTGGAAAGCCAACGCGGTCAACGAGACAGACCTTCAGTCTCGCATCTGATCGTATGCATGCCCTTCGCATCGGTCGGGTCTTGACCAGCTTCAGAGGCTGGCAGCTGGCAGTCAGGATCGACAGATAACGTCACCAGAGCGAAAGAAGGGTCGGGAAGCAGCCAAGAAGCGAGTGTGTATGGCCAACGAGTGTATATGGTACATGGGCGCGGTGCTCGAGGACGAGCCCAAGGAGTTGCACGATCGGCACGCAATGGTGCGATCAGAAGAACTTGATCCAGATGATAAAGAGGAAGAGCAAGCCGACCGCACCCACGGGCGCCCACTTTCGGTAGAGCGCATCCAGGTTGATCTGTCGAGCGGCCTTGCGGTACTTGAGCGACTCGTCGCGCAGAGACGACGACATGGTCGACATCTGGTCGAGGCTGTCTCCGCGCCACAACAGGTCCTCCATGTTCTTGGTCATGATGCGCGTCACGTCCTGCAGGTCCTCGTTCAGGCGGTCCAGATTCGACGACGCCGCCGACTGCGCCGTGCGCGAGTCTTCGTAGAGGCGCTTGGTACGCTGCATGAAGGTGTCGAAGCTGACAAACGCATACGGTCGCAACGTCCTCTGCTCCACCTGGTTGCCGTAGCTGCGCTCAAACTCCTTGGACAGCTCGTCGAGGTACGAGAAGGCAAGCTTGCGTGGGTACGACTTGTCGGCGATCGTCAGATACACCACCGAGTTGGGCATGGCAGGAGGTGGCGAGATGAGGTAGTGCAAGGTGAATTTGCCGCTCTCGATGCTGCACCGCGGCTCCGACGAGGGTGTGATGCGCCGAAAGATGAGCTTGGCCTGCTGCTTGTGCTCCGACAGGTCGTTCTCCGTCTTGCCATCGTCCACGCTCTGCGCCAACGGCAGACCGTCAGACACGCGCGCGATCTGTGTCGACAACGGCATGTTGCTCGTTGCTATGTGATGTATGTGAGCCTAGAGGGCAACCTTCGAAAGTGGGGGTCGAGTCTTCGCTCAAGAAGGTCTGGCGGCCGGGGGTGATGCTCGAGGATTTGATGCGAGACGGGATGCAATTCAAGCGGCGGCAACTGGTATTGAAAGGGGAGCCGACTCGAGAGTGCTGAAGTAGAGGCAGATGGCGACGGCAAGATTACCCTTGAATGCTTTTGGATGGTGATGTTGGAAGAACTGCAATAGGTTGGCTTGCGCTGGATGGGCACGGTCAAGTTCCGCAACCGTGCATCCCGCCAGGCGCTCCTGCTGCTGCTGCTGCTGCTGATGCTGTGC